GTTGTCTTCTAATTTTTCCTCATGTCTTCTAATTTTGACAGATATGTTATTTTCTTGGAACTGTTTATGATGAGGTATTTTCTTGGAACTGTTTATGATGAGGTATTTTCTTGGAACTGTTTATGATGAAGTGAAGTTGGAAAGAAGTAAAATCAGTGTATAGGATAAAATAATACAAATTTAAAATTACACTATTTCAGTATTGCTGGTGTATATAATCAAATGCTTAATGGAAATTCAGAAGGGGACAATAAATATAATACTTTTCTGTGTCTGTAATTTACATCTACTATTAAACTAATGTTTCTCTTATGAAATCTGAGTTTACTCAGTTACTTTTCTCATCTCTAAAACAGGATTCCTGTTACTTATTTTAAACCTTGCTCTTAAGTTGTCACTAAGAAAGTCAACAGAAAGATTACTTTTGGATTACTGTATAAGAAAAGTACTGTTATTGCACATTAGTAGAATATTCATAGGTTTCTTTTATAGATGGCTATTATATGTTTTTGTTATTTTTCAGATAAGGAAAATAAAAAATGCTTAACACACACAAAAATGGTGATTCTGGGAGAGTCTTCAACCCCGTCATAAAGAATATAACATTTTTAGCATTTATATATGAAGAACTTCTGTCTTATGGGAGGCTGGGAGGATTAATATAACATTTATGATTCCCTTGAGATTTTTTTCTGCTCTGTTTATTAAAATACTTTTGTTTTTAACATGTTTTTTGCTTTTGCTTTATCTTATTTTAAGATTGTAATTAGGAAGTACTTGTACGAGATGAAAAATATCTTTTCTTTCTACCCTTCAGGTTCTCTACTGGGGCCCCTATAACAAAAGACAGATTAGCAAGAGAAAAAACCTACAAATTTATTTAATATAAGTTTTATGTTACAAGAAGCCTTCATAAGGAAATGAAGACCTGAAGAAATGGTTAAATCAGTGTTTTTATATGAGGTTTGATGAAGAGAGGAAAGTTGTAGTAAAAAATAGGACAAAAGGGGTATGACATAAGAATACATAACTGGGGAAATCTTGGCCAAGCCTGTTTGTTTTGGTTCTTCTGGGTATCCTTTTGTCTTTTGAGATAAGGAAGCCCCTTTCCTCTCGTTTTAGGGGAGGGACCTCTAACATGAGGGTCTCTTGGCCTCGTTCAGGGGAAGGCTAGAGAGTCACTCCTGCACCTGCTCTTTCTCAGATTCCTTCACCTTAAATATTCTTTATGCCATGGTGCCATATTTTAGGGTTGCATGTCCTGAACCCCCATCACACTCAAGTGCAGAAGCTCAGGTTAGCTTCTGTATGAATACTTCTACTAAAGTATTCATGCTTTATTCCTTTTTTGGAAATTCATATGTTATTTAGGCAAATTGCTTATGTATATTATTGTGATTTAAATTTTAAAAATTCATACCTGTTAAATTTTTAGAGCTGCTTATGTAGATTAATTTTCTCAGACCTAAAAACTATTGAATAAATATTGCCTGTTGCTTCTATTTTTATTTTATTTTTTATTTTTCTAAGTAATAGACCAGATAATTTCCATATCCCCTCCCGAACACAGACACAGTTTCTCCTATTACATTAGTGCAGTACATTTGTTACAGTTATGAACCAGTATTGACATATTATTATTAACTCTGGTTGGCTTTAGCTCAAGCAGTTACTTCCTCAGGCTGGATTTCCTACCTGTCTAATCACTACAGTAGGGTTCAAGACCTGTGGGTGCTTGTTGCTTTGAAACAATCCATGGGGAGCAGACAAATCTAATTTTAGTATTGATTGTTTATCATTTCTTGTACAGACTCACAATTCCTCAGTACTTGATCTAAGGTGTTACCAATGTCTTTAGAGCAAATAACAATGCTTCAACGCCTGAACCGAGGAAGGTTATTTTATTTTAATAATCTTTTTTTCCCCCGTAGCTGTATAGGCTCTCTGTGAGGAGAAGGTCATAGAGAATCAGTTTTTGCAACATATCAATAATTGTTAAAGTATGACTGTGTTCTATTAATTGCTTAGTTTCTCTCAACTTACCCATTCCTTGCTATTTGTAAGAACTTACACATTCTTGCCAGGAACATTCAAATGGGGATTTTACTGTAGAAAGTTTTAGCCAAATTCTCTTCTCTTAGAATGTTTAAAGTTTTAATATAAAGGCAATTAGCATGTATTTTTTTTTTTTTTTTTGACCAGTAAGGGGATCGCAACCCTTGGTATGGTGTGGTCCGCACCACGCTCAGCCAGTGAGCACTCTGGCCATCCCTATATAGGATCCGAACCCGCGGCCTCAGCACTACCAGCGCCGCACTCTCCCCAGTGAGCCACGGGGCCAGCCCAGCATGTATTGTTAATTGAAAAAACTACTTGTTCTTTAAATTCAAACAAAATTCTGAATAGTTCAACATTTAATAAAATGAACATTTAAGTGGTGCTTCAGCCTGTTTTCCTGAGACGCAATTGAAGCTCTGTAAATATATGTTAGTGTGTTTTCTTTATGTAATTCTGAATCTCATGTAGATGGATTTGTAGAATTAATCACTGTGGAAGGAATCCTTTTTGCCCTTCCCAAGTGAAGCTCCCATAGGTATAGTTGGGTTGTCCTTCTGGTTTGCTTTAAGGGCACTTTAGCAGTTTTAAAAACCTAAGTACTAATTTCATAGCCAGTGTCAGCTGAATTTATTGAAGTAGGTCAGACTCTGGATAGAAACTTGTTTCCCAACCCTAAAGAGAGTCATTATCCATTCTTCTATTTGTTAGAGAATGGTAATAAATTTTTCCACATTGACCACAAGTCTAGAGCAATTTCAGAAAATCTAGATAGTTGGATTTTTTTAGGTATAGAAGATTACTTAAGATGCTCTTTGACTTTTATTATCCCAGTGGATCAAAAACAAACAAAAAATAAAAATCAACTTTCTCCCCCCTAAAAGAGAAGCCATATTCAGTGCTTGTATTCTTTAAAATAGACACACACACACACACACATATACACCCCTATAAAATACACATGCAAAAATGCAGTTCATTCATTGGGGCATTCTTTTTGTTTGTTTTTTAAAAAATTTTTTGTAGATTTTTCGGTTATTTGTTTTGGTGGCTGGCTGTTATTGGAATCCAAACCCTTGACCTTGGTGTTACAACACGATGCTCTAACCAACAACAAGATAACTGGCCAGCCCCCTAAGAAAGTTTTTAATGTACTATATGCCAGGAATATGTTTCCTTCAAACTCTGGAAAATCAATTTATCTGTCTGTAGGAACGAAAATTTTTATTTGGGTAGCATTAAGAAATAGTATAGTCATATAATAAAACATACGGTACTAAAAGTATAAGTATTATGGCAAGTCTTTAATTAATTTTCAAAATGTTTTTCATTTGTAAGGGAAGGTTGGCTTCATGGAGGATTTGGGCTTTGAGATGATTCCTGAAGGTTGGATATGAGTTGATAGAAGAGATATATGAAATAGGGAGTAAGCAGCATGAACAGAGGCTTAGACTTTAAAAGTGCCAGACAGTAACTTAAGGATGTTTTTGGGCAAGAACCAATATATGGGCATCATGTTAAAGTCGTCTCGGTATAATTAATTGGAATGTTGCATTCCAGTAAGAAAATCAGGGACTCACAACTCAATTCTTTTGAGCTTAAAATCCTTGCAGTGTCACACATACTATATCAACATCCTTGCTGTTATCAATATTTAATGAACAAGACATTGTTCATTTTGAGAGACAGAGGGGTATGTGCGTATACGTGTGTGTGTATACTGTAGGTAGTTTCTTGCACCAATCACTCAATGTGTCTACGCTACAGAGATGTTAATCTGCTTTTTTCATGATTATCTCATAGTGGGAGTATTTCCTTGGATAGCGATTCTAGCATTTAAGGAATATTTGTATAATATAGGTGTTAAATGCAAGCAGTCTACTTAATGTAGCGTTCCAAAGCTGGAGAAAATGTGGGTTGGATTTCAGTGAATAATATGTCATTCTTCGATGTGGCACACCTTCCCAGTGGAGTAATGAGTATATTTGACTATATGTGATTTTCACCTTACCTGCTGATTTAAAAACCTGTGACTATACTGTACCTCTTTGACCCTTTTCATAATTTTGTGGTCAACTGCTAATTAAATAGTGAGTGGGTGTTTACTATTTAGTAAATGGAAATACCTTATATCATTTTCTGTGATTTAAGGATAATAACCTACTTAAGGTTGTAACACATTATAGAAAGGCGCTAAGAGCATGGATTATGGAGCTGGTCTGCTTCAATTTTTCCAGCTGTGAAGTGGAGATAATAATAATGCCCATTTCGTGGGGTTGTATTTGGTACAGAGTAGGCACGATCATGTGTTAATTATTAAAGGTCCATTATTCCTTGTTTGCAATTTTGAAATTAAAAAAATTAAACTACAAACCAACAGTTTTTATATAATGCATTTGACAGCAAAGCCTGACCTTACTAATGTCTTTGTAACATATAATCTGTTTTTGGTCTATACTTGACCTTAAGTTATTTATATTTAGTTTGTAAAATGCAGATATTCATTATTTTATATTTGTTGGACAGTATAGTTGACAGTCTTTCTCATGAAGTAAAAATACACTTGGATATATTATAATTAATTTTTAACTAAGTAATGTTAACAGTAGTTTTATTTATTAAATGTTTACTGTGTGCCAGACACCATACTGGGTATTTTATATCCATTGTCTTATTTATTCTAGTGGTCCTCTAGGTAGGTTGTATTGATCCTGTTTTTAATGTACTGAAGCTTAGGGAGGTTAAGTAATTTGCTCAACATCACACAGTCATTGTTTGCTAGCAGTGCTAGGATTCAGACCTCATCTCTCTGACATTTTCGGTAACTACTGTGTTCTTTCTCTAACCTACACTGCCTCTATAATTTAGAAAATTTTCATAAGGAAATAAAAATTACTGATATGCTAAAGTACATTGTTGTTTTGCTTTTTTACCTTTCAATTTAGGTGCTGGAAAACCTCCTATGTTTGGTGATTATGAAGCTCAGAGACACTGGCAAGAAATCACTTTTAATTTACCAATCAAACAATGGTATGGATAATTTTAACTTGATTTTATTCTCTCTTTTTTTTTTTTAAAGATGACAGGTAAGGGGATCTTAACCCTTGGTTTGGTGTTGTTGGTTGGTGAGTACCCAGTGAGCTAACCGGCCATCCCTATATGGGATCCGAACCTGTGGCCTTGGTGTGATCAGCATCACATTCTCCCGAGTGAGCCACAGGCTGGCCCTTTATTCCTTTTGATAGTTAATATAGGGGCCGGCCTGTGGCTCACTCGGTAGAGTCCGGTGCTGATAGTTAATATAGATTATTTGAAGATTTTAAAAGGAAAACATGCTATTTTCTTCATCTTGAGCATTCTCATCTCCTGCATACTGATGCCTCTTATATATTGCCTTGCATATTACAGGCCTGTCTTTGAAATTTCATAGTCCTGAAAGGTACCCATATATTCAGTCAGCTGGGATATACTGCTGAACTAGAACTTTGATAAAACACTATATGTCTTAGAAACTCCTCTGGACATAAACTGTGGAAATACCATCATGGGCTAAAAATATTTCTCCTCTCTTCCCTCATTCACTGCTTCTCTCACTAAAGATCACTATGATTATAGTTATAGGTAAAAACAGAGCCTTGGCAATAGTAGATGGCTAAATTTGTGGAGCTGAAAAGGGGACCAAAGGGAGAAGCCCGCAATAGTAGGACTTGTTTTCAACTCCGAAAAATTCACGTGTCATTTTATTGAATATATCTGGTAACAATTAATGACATTACTTATTGATGTACTGGATGGCTGGTAGATTGTTCTTTTAGAGACTGACTATATACACTGTTCATATTACTCTGTTGATTGCTTTGGTCACTGTTTTTATATAACTCCTTTATCAGAGAGTTTCATGCAAGAACTTTATATTGAACTTTCTATTAATAGGTTGGCTGTTACCTAGTAAGAGTTTGGAGTATTTCAAATAGAAGAGGAACCTGAAACACTCTAAATATCTCTTAGTAGGGGAATGATTAAATAAAGTATATTTTCCTCGTGTACATGTGCACATGTCTCTTTCTAGGTAGATTCCTAGAAGCAGAATCTCTAATGTAGATAGTTTTAATGGATATTAACACTAGGCTATCTCTTTCCATATAGCTTTACTAACACTTAATAATACCAGATTTCTAAAATTTGTATTTCCTTGAGTACTTGTAATGTTGAGCACCTTTTAATATACTTATTGATCATCATATTTCTTCTCAAACTTGCTTGTTCATATCTTTTCCCCATGTTTCTAATGGATCAATTATCTTTTTTGTAATAATTTGTAGGATTTTTAAATAAAGTTATATTAATTTTTCGTGCTCTGTAACAAATTACCACAAATGGTAATTACTTAAACATACATTTACTATTGTTAGTAAGTAACAATATTGTTACTGTTAGTAAATTAAACAATAGTAAATAGTTACTATTGTTAGAAAATTGCAGTTTCTTTAGGTCAGAGGTCGAGGCACAGCTTAGCAGGGTCTCAGAAGGCTGCAAGCCAGGTATCAGCTTGGCTGCAGACTTATCAGAGACTTGATTGGGGAAGGATCCATTTCCAAGTTCCCTCAGGTTGTTGGCAGAATTAATTTCCTTGCATCTGTAAGACTGAGGGCTTTGGTTTCTTGTTGGAAGCCACCCACAGCTCCTAGAGTTCGCTTGCAATTTCTTGACATGTGGCTGCTCTAATATGGTCACTTACGAAAACATAGCAGCTTGCTTCTTCAAAGTCAATGAGAGGGAGTCTGTCTAGCATATCCTCTAGTATGATAGAATCTCACATAGATGTAAAACTTAAGCACAAAAGTGACATCCTGTCACATTTACCATATTCTATTGGTTAGAAGCAAATCACAGGTCTCGCTCACACTCAAGGGGAGGAGGTTGTACATTCAGGGAACTGAATACCAGGAGATGGGATTCATGGGGATGACCTTAAACTCTGTCTGCCACAACAGTATTCTACATTTTAATCATTTTTCTTGTGTGTGTGTGTGTGTGTGTGTATGGGTGTATAAAGTAAACATCTTCCTGTCCTTTGAATTTTTCTTGTAGTGTCTTTTGCCATATACAAAATTTTACGTTTTGATGTATAGAAGTTTTTTGAACTAATCTTGCAACTTCTGTAACTTTGAAACTGTTCCAAGTTAAAAACTTTTTTAAAAGCAAAAATATCCATAATGACTGGATTTTATCTTAGAAAAAATTACAACTTGAAATTAATGGTCATATTCCTGAATGTAACTTTATAACTTGTGGCAGCCAATTTTTTTTTACTGACAAACATCCACTGAGATTACATGGGAATTCAGTGGGAAAATACATTTCAATGTATAAATAGTGTTTATACAACTTTTCAGGTATATCTAAAGTATATAAAGCGGGAGTATCAACTAGTTGCTTTGTTTTTACTTATAGATTTTGAAGCTTTACTTGAAACACTTTTTTTTTAAAGATGACCAGTAAGGGGATCTTAACCCTTGACTTGGTGTTGTCAGCCCCACGCTCTCCCAAGTGAGCCATGGGCCAGCCCTACATGAAACACTTTTAAGTTTTCTTTTTCCGTGCCTTTTTCTTATTTATGAATTTCCATAAGAATGGGGAACACAATTGTCCTATCATTTTTTCCTCCCAGTCCGAGTGACTTTATTGTTAGTATTTATCTTTGCATGCTTACATATTACCGTCAATGCCTCTTTTACTTATCCCCAGTGGATCTCAAGGTTAAAGTAAATGAAAAGTATCTTTTGTCTTATAAGAAGCTGTAAACCAAATCAAGTTGTATTGGTCAAAATGTGATCTTGAATTACTTGATGGTGTTTCCTTTGCTTTATCCATCCCAATAGTTTTGTGGCTAATGGCCAATCGAAACTGCTATTGAGCACTTACTTTGTGTCAGGCAGTAACTTAACAGATTTACATGTTTAACTTACTGCTTCAATAACTCTATGAGGCAGATACAATAAGACTATGCTTTTTTTTTTTTTTTTTTTTTTTTTTTTTTTTTTTTTTTTATTAATGGTCATATTCCTGAATGTAACTTTATAACTTGTGGCAGCCAATTTTTTTTTACTGACAAACATCCACTGAGATTACATGGGAATTCAGTGGGAAAATACATTTCAATGTATAAATAGTGTTTATACAACTTTTCAGGTATATCTAAAGTATATAAAGCGGGAGTATCAACTAGTTGCTTTGTTTTTACTTGTAGATTTTGAAGCTTTACTTGAAACACTTTTTTTTTAAAGATGACCATTAAGGGGATCTTAACCCTTGACTTGGTGTTGTCAGCCCCACGCTCTCCCAAGTGAGCCATG